TCCCCGTCCTTCCTCCTCCCTCCAGTCCCCAGCACCCACCTGCACACCTCCCTCCTCTCTGCCTGATGTGGGGCATTCTTCTGACCCTGTGTGGAAGGAATTCAACTCACTAAACAGGAGAATATCAATAAGGCAAATACCAGTTTTTAGTGAGTGAGCTGAATCAGCTCAGTGAAAAGTCTGATGAGTAAACAGCCGAGCCAGCACAAGGTGAAGGGAAGACCATATGGTCAGAGTCATAAATGAGAAAGATGTTGGTATTCGCCTTTTGGCAAAAAACCCAACAGACAAGTGCAGCTGTAAGCGTGCACCTGTAGCCATAGCCAGTCCCCAGGTGCCCTGCAGGAACGTGCAGGGCTCCACAGAACCCACCGTGAGAAATAAAGCATTTTGCTCACAAGTTCTGGGACACGTTGTCTATTTTTCACCCAGCTCTAAATTAGTCAATTAATAAATTAGTCACCTTCCCTGGTGGTGAGGAAAGAATCTTCAAGAATAAACTGGATTCTCTGCTCCCATTTCCAGTTTCCACTTATAAACATCCAATGACTTTAGTAGAAATACCCTCTTCTTCCATTGCATTGCATGAACCAGACCCAAGCCTTCAGTAGGGTCAGTGAAGCTCTGCTGACTTGTATCACTTGAAAATGTGGGCCTTTGTGCATGACTGGGGCACACATTATTTCTTTAATGACACAAATAATTTAAATTACTCCTGATTCTCTTTTTACTTGGTCTGCCCAATTTAATTTTTCCAGCCTATTCCCCTGCCATTTTGACATGATCTCAGAGACCCATGGATTACAGTGGCTTCGGTAAGGAATCAGACTGACATTGGTAAGATACAGACCCAGTATCTTTTGAATGTATGTGTTTAAGTCCCCACATACATGCTTTGTAGCTCTGGCTGATAAACTTCAGAAACTTAATGTATACTAAAATGAGGAAGTCTAAAAGACATGAAAAATAGAATTATGTGTTGAAATTAAAGGGCTCTTCAGACCAAACATGAGGCGCTAAGAGGGACACTTAGTTATAGGTTTGAACAGCCTATAGGATGTGGTAAGACATTTTATATTTTCGGAAGGAAATGTGGATCACAACATATCTGGTTTCTGAGAGAGTTTGAGATTTTCCAGGAGTGGAATTGCGTAAGCGCAATTAAAGCCGAGAGATGGACAGCTATACCGGAGACCACAGTAAATGCTATTCTGAGGTGCCAGCCAATGTCATAGAGTTTATAAACATCATTTGTCAGAAGTAATAATAAGGAAACGTTTTACATCTAAATTGCTATGGGAAACTCCCAGTATTCTTCAGATTTCATCTCATTCCAGTTTCTCAACCTGGATCTGATTCAAGACCTTTGAAGTTCCCGTGTCTGGATTTCAAAGGAAATGAGCCGGGACCTGGGAGACATAGCAAGATCTAGAGCCAGTCTTCTGAGCACTGAGCTCCCAGGAATCCACCTGAAATCAGCTGTAGCCGTGCTCCACACTTCTGCAGAGCCAGCCCCCGCCACAGTCATCTTCTCCCCCTGCTCATGCTTTTAATGGTACTTTAGGGGTCAAAGGTTTGGGCTCTCTGCTTATTTCTGCCCTTATGTTGTTGCTTATTGATTTACTCAGACCAGGTCAGATCCCATCTCATCTGTGTCAACAGCCCACTTAAAACTTCCTTTACAAGTCAGACAAAACTGAGCTTGCAGTCTCCAGGCAAAAAGAGGCTGGAAGAAAGGACAGAGCTGGGACACTGGTGGAAGGCAGAGCCTCGGGGAGCAGAGCCTGGACATGGACCAACACCTGGTGGTTTTGCTCTCACTGCCTTAGCTGCTGCCTCCTCACAGTCCAGTTCCTCTCTCAGCAGCAGCAACAGCCAACCTGCTTCTAGGCTTGGAAATAGGGAGAGTAGCAATAGGGCCACGACTAATTTTGCTAGGCCAAGCACTTGGCTGCCCTGGGAAATTTGTTGTGTTGTTTATGCGTGACCTGGTTCTCCTTGGATCCAAGAGGTTGATGGAGTACAGAATTTGGCCTTCCTTGCCCTAGTCACTCAGCTGCGGGTCAGCGTTACCTAATGCAAGTTTTCAGAGGTCCTGTGCCAAAGCAGTCCACCTTAAGGCCAAGCTGTTCCTAAGAGTCTAGGTCAAACACCAAAAATCACTAGTTACAAATACTGAAAATGTGTTTTGGTCCAAAGCACATATTTTTTTCTTTTTTTTTGGTTTCCCAATGTACTTCAATAAGGGTCCTAGACAATGCCTCCCACATTTCTATTTTTAACTGCTATATAAGCCAGCTTGCTGCATACCTCAAAAGCTTTTACAGGATGGCAGAACAAGACAGCCACTAGGACTATGTTTATTAAAAAGAATCCTCCTTTTTTGAGAAGAGACGTGAGCATTCCCTAGGAAAGGAAACTGGGAGATGAGTGCCAGCTTTTGCTTTTCTCTTATTCTTTTTTCCCCCCTTTTTCTGGAGTGCCTGTTTAGAAAATTTCTTTGCATAATTCTTTACAAACAGAATTGAACCTTGTTTTGCTTGCACTAGCGATGGAAAAGCAGCTGATAGACGGAGGGGACTGCAAGGCTTGCTTCACGCAGAACCACCAGAGGTCAGGCTTAAACTCTGATTCGTGCCTAATGCTGAGCGGTTTAATTCAGACTGACTTCTGTCACTGCAACAAAGTGCAGAAGGCTTACAGGATATTTACTGCATTCCTTCTTTTCCTGGGAGACCGCATCCTTCCAAAGTATTTTCTAGCTCTTTGTGTAATACACAAAGGCCTCTGGTTTTGCCTCATGCTTTTTGAGAGTTGGTGGGACTGTCACAACTGGTTTGAAGACTTTCCTGATAATCAACCTGGAATTACCCTTTCTTTTCATCCCATCACTCATATCATACTTCTTTTGTGACATCTCAGGTATGAGCATAACAAAGAGTATGTTTTTGAAGGGGAAGAATTTGGCTTGCACAAATTAACTTGGACAAGGTGCATTTGGCTTCTACAAGAAGTAGCCAGTTTTTGCAACACTAATGACCATTTTTGAACAGGTGATTTTCAGGCTGAGCATGCAGAGAGGTCGAGTGCTTGATCCTGTGAATGTCTAGATGATGAAGTGAGTAATGCAGCCTCCAACAGTGCACGAAAAGAGTTATAAGTTCTGAGCCTCTCCAAACAACCCCATTTCTACCTTAGCTTTCTCCTCTCCATGATACTGTGTCATGGAAACAGCAGTTTTGCTGCTGCATAGCACCAGGGACCATCCCAGTAGTAGCCCACAGACTGGATCTAGCCTGCGGGGCCATTTGTGCCTTGCACCGGGTGAGGTGGGACAGTGTAGGAGGTCTTACAGCTATTGAATACCTTTTCATTCCTTGCACTTCTGGGTGCTTTGGCCGATTAGACATTCCCATGTTCATATGGAAGGAGGAAGACGCCACAGCAGGA